ACACATGACAGTTAATTATTCAACTAAATTCAGCTTAAATTGTAAATCGATACATTTGCACTACACTTTTTTTATTAGCTTTGTGAGAGTTGAATGCCCTATTCTATAATCTTAACTATACAGTTCCATAATGTTTTTATCCAGTCAATAAAAAGATAAAAATCAATGCAGATATACTTTAAGTAAAAAGAGGGAAGTAGATATGCGCATCATCTTTCATCATTCCTGAAAGCAGTTTGTCACAAAATAAATTTTATTTGGTGTTTTTACTTTTGGTTTACTTCACTCACATTATTGCAGCAGCTGCTAACCTAATTTCTACATACTAAGTGGTTCTGATCTAAGAAGCAGTGAGATTAAATTCCAGATTCTTTATATGTCTGTAACTTCTGGTATATACTATCAGAAAACATTTATCAAAGTATTTATAAAAAGTAGTAATAATTAATCAAAAAACAATAATAATAAAATTTGATTTTAGACAAATATTTCCTAAAAATAATACATTTTATATCATCACTATATTATTAAAATAGTGCAAAAAGTTTACTAAAAAGGAAAAAAATTGGATAATGTTAAATTTACTTATATTAGAATTTTTTTCTGCAATTTAAACTTTTTAAATTTAAATATTTTAATGTTTATTTCTTAGAAATATAATTACTATTAAACATTTATCTTTAAATATTAATGCATGATTATCAATGTCTGGAATTAAATTCTAGGCTAAGCTAAATCTGTTATTCCTCATTATATTAATTTAAGTTTTTAAATTTAGAATCAGTGAGGATATAAATATAAAAATGTTAAGAATGTTTATTATGAAACTACTTGAAATTTATCAAGCTTTAAAATACATATATATTTTTTTTAATGAAGATATTTTTAAATATAAAAGGGTTTACTGTACTGTTTACATATTGAAAATAATTTAGAATTATTGTTATTTAAAAAAGTTATCAAAATGATAGTGATTTTGTTATATAATATAATTATAATATAATTTTAAGCTATAAAGTTAATTTTAAGTTTTATGTTAATACTAGTTAAATGCAAATATAAGGAAATATTTAGGTTTTATAATGCATTTTATGTAGATATAGTTTCCACATGCTCTACATCATAACATTATTTTCCAACTATAAATTTCTGAGTTGTATGAAGACATACAGGGTGTTTCACAGCCTCTCCATAAAGTTTTTTTGAATAACTTTTTTGAAAATTCAAATTTTTTAATGAAATTTTCAGCAAAGATAGAAGATGAAAAAGGAAATTAATGCAAGATATTTTTGAAATGTCTGCTCTCTGTCGAGATGCAGTAGCGCAGTATCTCTTGGAAATTATCAATCACATTACTACAGGTCTGATCTGAGATGCCCTTCATGATGCTCTCGATGCTTTCTCTCATCTGACTGAGGGTGGTAGTATTATTCTTGAACACCTGATCGTATATCCCCAAAGAAAGAAGTCTAGTGGACTCAAATCAGGGCTGTAAGGTGGCCAGGCGAGGCCACTTATGGAAAAATCAAATGTTTTGAAGCAACGTGCTTTGTGATAGAAGCAATTCCTTTTTGCTCAAAGTGCCACCTACAAAAAATTGAGGCAGAAAACCATATTGTTCAAAAGTTATTCAAAACAAAACTTTGTGGAAAGGCTGTGAAACACCCTGTACAATTAATCATAATTATGAAATTTTAAAATAAAATTAGATACAGATTTAGTTATAATTCCCATTTATTTAATCAGCATTATAATTAAAACTTTATTTTTTATATATGTAACAGAACATACTGATTTAGAGAATTATCTTACAAATTTTTAATGATTTCTTCAAAATTAACCAAAAAAATTACAAGCAAGACTTGATAGATCAAATATAAACATCCAAACTCAATAGTTATATATTAAAGCCAAATGATTGCCGATTTACATCAGGCTATATTACTACTATTATTATTAATTAAATGTTAAGCAATTTGGCAGCCGAGGAAGGTGTTAGATGTCATCTATTGTTAAATTTAATTATAATTATTAATTTGGCAATTATTTGGCTTGAATAGATCAAATAATCCTATTAAAATAGTTGTAATTATAATAGATTTTAGTATACTTTGGTAAGTTTTGGAAAATAATGAATAAAATTAGAAATAAAATAAAATTTCAAATGTTTATTAAATTAGTATTAAATGTTACAAAATGAATTGTATACAGGAAATACATGGAAGTAGAAAACTTTTATTAAAGAAATTAATGGCATGTTCCTGGTTTCTATCACTAAACAATAATGGATGAAGGAAAATGAATTGAATAAAAATGTGTATTATTAACTCAATTGATTTTAATTATAAATGCTATATCATATAAAGGAGATGAAAAAGTATTTGAAAATTAAAATATATAACATACAAAAAGTTTTGCTTAATAGAAAAATATTTACTAATCAGATCAAATTTGATTTTTGATGATGTAATTTAGAAGATAGCAAAATAATTTTGAATATTTTAAACAGAAGCATATTCATACATTTATAAATTTACACAGGTTAAATATGTAAATCATTCATACTGGATGTTTATATTTTATTCTTATATGTTCCTGAAAAAATTCACTGAGTTTTTTAGATAAATTAAAAACTTGTAGGTGGTAGTAGTATTCATATAGCTGTTAAATCAATATTTATTTTGTTTTAATCAATTTTAAAAGTTGATTCAAAAAGTTTTTAACAATATATAATAAGTTTATTTAACTTTTATGTGATGAATTTTATTGTAATTTTTTTTTAATTCATCCATTTTGTTGCTATGAGTGCATCTAGTAGAACTGTCAGTTGTCTGCATAGATGATTTTCATACTTAAGTAGTTTTTGAATAATATGACTAGTAAAAAATTTTTGAAGTCTAATTTTACTCATTAATCAAGTAAAACAATAAATAAATATAATTTATAAAACTATTACTATTCTTTTTAGATTGCTTAATACAAACTTTTTATCTGTCTAAACAATTGATGTATAAATTTTTAAAATATTTACCTGCAATTTTTTTTATATTAATTTTACTGTATTTTGAATAAACAAATAAAAAAATAATAAAAATTGAATTTAATCCTATTGTCCTAATTTACAATATTAGATTTCCTATGTTTATTATTGATTAAAATTGTCAATGAATGCATTAATTTTAGGAATGATAATTTTGCTCATAGAATTATAATGAAATAATTTATTCAAGATTATTCTGTATTATATGAAAGAATAGTATTGATATAATAAATATTTTTAAAAAAACATAATTTTAAAAATTTAGTTAACTTAATTTCAAATTGAATTGTAAAAACTTGCTGATTATCATTGTGATTATGATGCAAAATTAATAAAAGCTTAATTGATTTTATATTTGAGTATTTCTGTTTAAATTATATACATTCATTTAAAGTTATTTTATCCAGCTTTAAATAATTATTACAGTAAAAATGACTTGGAATACTTTTTTCTATTTTTAGATGAATGACATTTGTAAATTATTTTAATACACATTTAAAATGCATATGAAGATGTTATGCTTCTATGAAGATGTTATTCTAGATCATTCAATTGTGTCTGATGGAAACTTCTTATGTCAAATGTACAATTCATGAAATTCAAAATATAGTTCCATAATATATGATCTTAAAAACACATTTAATATATTTTTAATTTAATTAAGAATTAGAATGATATATACTTGAAAAGTTGAACTGATATTATTGATGTTATAAACATTAAACTGGATCAAATCAACAATTAAATTTATTGATGAATTTAAAGATTTTGAAAAGTTATTCATTCTTAGCAATATGCATATAAATTGAGAATAGAAAGGATCCTTTTCATTTGAACATAATGATGATTGTCATATCAATATATGATTTTGAAACAAAACTTTGATGATAAATTAATGTGTTTCATAGATTCCAATATATCAATAAATTTACTGTATATATTTGAGTATTTTAATTAATTTCTGTTATTAAATAACTTATAGGATAAGATTAAGTTGTAATAGGTGTTCCAAGAAAAAGATGATAGATTATTAAAAAATTAAATACAGATTTAGATTTATAGCTATATTTTCTAAATATTGTACTAAACTTAAAAATATCATGACACATCAAGAAAATTAAGAATAGTATATCAAAATTAGGTATATTTGTAAATATAAGTAGTTCATCAAAGAAACTTATTTTTACCTATTAGGGGAAACAATATAATTTTAACAAACTTAATATTTTCTACAATGGTTGTGTAGATTCAGTGCTTTATAATCAGCAAAAACATTTTTGAAATTTTTTATATTGTAATATTTTATCTTTATTATTGTAGTCGAATAATATACAATATTTAAGAAGCAAGTTAGTATAGTAATACCTCGAACTTACATGATAGATGGGACCGAGCGATAATTGCATAAGTCGAATTTGTGTAAGTTGGGGTATAATTTCACAATTTGTGTAAAATCCAAGTTAGATGTATGTAAGCTAATAAATGTTCTCGTTAATCTTATCTCGTCTTTTGATTTGTTCACGGTTACAAGAAATCACCACATAGTCTCTCAAGTCTCCATAGATATAACAACACAGAAATAAATACCACAAAATAAATTGTAGTTATGTGTCGATTCTGTGTGACACGTCTGAACATGTAAGCTGAACAATAGTGTGGGGGGAGTGAGTAATCAAGAGTTGCATGGCACTCAAACAAAAGACGAATCGATGAGATTTGAAAATTGCGTAACTCCGGGTTTGCGTTAGTTGAGGTATTACTGTATATGTAAATAAGCAACACACCATACAGAACCTGTTTTTTAACAACAATTGAAAATTTAATACCAACAGGCTAAATTATAAGTTTTCAACTGGTATTAAAAAAAATGTTGTGTGGTGTGTTATTTACAAGAATTATCCAGTTATGTGTATTACTGAAATGACTGTATATGTGAATATTTTGATATTTCTTTTAATAGGCTGAGGGTGAAGTTGCTGCTTTGAATAGGCGTATACAACTCTTAGAAGAAGATCTTGAACGTTCTGAAGAAAGGCTGAAAATTGCCACTCAGAAATTGGAAGAGGCTTCTCAAGCTGCTGATGAAAGTGAACGGTATGTATTAAATTTTTTGAAAACAATCAAACTGAAATTTTTTACATTTTCCATTTAAGTATAAAATAATACATCATTCTGTTAGATATTAAACTAATGACTTGAAAATTTTAAATTTGCAATATCTAAAATTAAATTTTTTTTTTTATATTGTAAAGTGAGTTAAAAATTTGTGTACTATATCTAGAATAACTAAGTGAAAAGATTTTACTGTTTTGTATTAAATTTGTAACTAAATATATATATAAATATTTTGACTGTTTTAATTATTTTATAATTTCTACATTTATTAAATTTTAGAAATTATAAAAACATATTTACACTGAGGTACAAACTGAAGTAAATTTTCATGCTTTCCAACTCCATAGAGATACAAAGAATCTGCAGAAGCATTAAATTTTATTTAGAAGCAAAAATTTTATTGAGTGATAAAACATCTTTTGTGCTCTCAAAAAAAACTTATTTTTAATGAAATTTTACTTCTAAACTAGATACAGCATTTCTGTAGACTAAGGTCCACACAATTTAATAATAATAATTGTATTATGTAATTTTTATTGCAACAATTCATCCAGAATTAAAAATATTTTAGTTTGACAAGCATGTAATGAACCAATTTTATTTAGTTAACAAGTAATTAAAAAATTTAAATGTCATTTTAATATCTTGACTACATATTTAGTAACATATTTCATAGTCATTATTTATATTTTACTTTGGTTTATATTTGTTTCATTTGTATGTCAGTGTGAATTTCACTATATTAACATATTTACATTTCTAAATTTTTTATTTATTACTTATGAAAATAAAAAAATGTAATTATATTTTAATGTTTTTGAAGCTATGATTCTAAAATTCTATCTTTTAGTGTTTCTTAATATTTCAATTATAACTATTTATTTATAGAAATATATTTAAATTCATAATTTTATAAAATAAAAATATTGTCTAAACTTTTAGAAGTTGTACAGGATCTTAATAGGAAGTATACAACTTGCTGCATAAAATAACAAGAATAAGCAACAAAAAGAATCAGATTTATTTATAAAATATAGTTTTCCTTAAAATATGATGATTGTGTATTAAATTTTTAAATTCTATTGCCAAGCATAGAGTTATTGTTTATTTTAAAATAAACAATAACCCTATGCTTAAAATAAAATATAACTCTGTGCTTGGAATCTTAACTAAAATAACAATATATTGATATTAATTAGAATTTTAATAGAATTTACTAGAACTGTAAAAAAGTTAAAATGTCAAAAACATTTTAATAATTATGAAATTTAAATTGAAAAACAGTCCTAAATTTGCAAAACAGTATTTGTATATGTATGACTAATTATTTATTCAAAACAGTTACTGTACATCAGTATAATAATCTTATTGAAATCCATGAAAGAAAATGATTTGAAATTATTGCAAAAATAATTAAATATCCATTTGAATAATAGTAAATGCAATAAATATCCATTAAAAAATAAGTAAAATGTTTACCATACACTACAATTTATTTATTCAGATTATTATTATGTTTTAATAGACAGCTCATTAATAATAGTTGATATTCTGTTATTCATTTATATCAATTATTATTTGTTATTACTTTTTTTTTATTCTTTCTTTTTGTGCTTTCACTTAAGTCCATAAATTTTGTTTCAACTATAAATTCAGATTTATTCTGATATCATTAATAAATAAATATTTAGCAAAATATGACCTACTTGAACCTATAACCGGTTCCTACAGAGTTTAATCTTCCAAAACAAACGTTTTCTTAACCCCTTCTTCAGGTAAATCAGCTGGATCGAACACGAATACGAAAAAATTTGAACAAATCCGAACAATGTTGAGTTTGAATTGTTTGGTTTGTTTGCATATTCTGTCATATGACATGCTTGGAAGTGCTTAAACTTAATGATCAATGTCCAAATGCAAGAGAAAATTATGTCAAAATATATAACATATGTGAGAGTGAGATAAATAATTAACAACGATCTCACATGTTCCTCAGTAATTTTTTCTTTACCACGTAATAAATAGTATAATACTATCTCTCCGTATGTAGTAAGTTCAGCCATGCCATAGAGAGGCTAATCTCGTCTCTTGTATTAATGCATGAGAATGTGTCATATGCCTTAAAAATTTCCATATCCTCTAACTATTTCAGGTGGTCAATGTGCGGTGTGGTGACAATTAATTGCACTTGAGTGAAATCTGCCACAATTTCGGGATCAGTTGCGTAAGTGGAGAGTGAGGTGGTGCATCTATTGCATTGTATATCAGAGATATGCTCTTTTAACCTAACTCTCAACGAACGTTTAGTTGATCCTACGTATACCAAATCCCTGTTAAACCAGTTATCCCTTAGCGGGACTGTATAGATGCCTGATAGTCTCTCCATATTTGGATCCATTACATAAGATGTCAAACAAAGTACTGCATCTCCTATATGCCAGGGTAACCTTTCGTTTTTTTGCAATGGTGCTGTATAAAGACCTCAAGAGGGGGTTGAACATAAGAGGTATCCTCACATTTTCCATCCTCGTGCTACCGCTTTGTGCCACTGCTGTAATGGTGGAAGAAGCTTGCACCTGTTTATGGCGCTCTGAGATTTTCCATATGATATTGTGGTAACCATGGGACCTGGCAATGTCTTCCAAGTATTTTAACTCTTCTGCGAGTGCCTGATGCATAGAAGAGTGCGTGTAGGCTCGTTTAACCAATCCCTGAATGCCACCATCTTGTACTGGAAGGGATCACACGAGCTTATTGGTATGTATGTGAATATACTAGACAGTTTGTGATAAACAGATGTGTGTATGATGGAATCTTCAAATCTGATATCCAAACTGAGGAAATGGACTCTGCTGCTACTATGTTGCTCCATCTCAAGGGACAGCCCATATGGATTGTTGTTCATTTTGTTTAGAAAGTGGGTTAGATTGGGAGTTGTCCTTTATAAGATAATAAAAAAAAAAAGAAAAGAAAAGAAAAAATTACTGGGGAACATGTGAGATCGTTGTTAATTATTTATCTCACTCTCACATATGTTATGTATTTTGACATAACTTTCTCTTGTGTTTGGACATTAAGTTCAAGCACTTCCAAGCATGTCATGTGACGGAATATGCAAACGAACCAAACAATTCAAACTCAACAGTGTTCGGATTTGTTCAAATTTTTTCGTATTCGTGTTCGATCCAGCTGATTTACCTGAAGAAGAAGGGGTTAAGAAAACGTTTGTTTTGGAAGATTAAACTCTGTATGCACCAGTTATAGGTTCAAGTAGGTCATATTTTGATATATACAACCCTGTGTGCATTGCTTTTTTAAAATAAATATTTAATCATTTCAAGACAAACTTTAATGATTTGAAAATAAATTAATAAACTCTGCTAACTGGGACTAATGGGAGATGAAGGTTATCAAAGTTTACAAAAGTCCATGTTAATGGGATGTTTTCTTTGACAATGTGGAAAATGAGGTACATTAATTTATTGGGATCATCTCTATACAGAAGTTTTACTTAACTTTAGTAGGTTATACTGCTGAATTTATTATTACAGGAAATGAACTCAAAAAAATTTCATGACAGTACAGTATATAGCAATGTATAGTCTTTAGTAACTTACTGACTACTGTATCACAAAGACTTCTAGTTATTGAAAAACTTGTTAATCATAATTTCTATTGTCAAGAAATTTTAAAATTATTATATAATTTTTCAAAAAAATTTGAACTATTCAAAGACAGAGTTAACAGGGTCTAAGTTAATGGGGATTTATTGTAATTCACATTTTTCTTTAATCACATCATCCTAATGAATAAATCCAAGAATTTACACTAAATGGTGTTTTTCAGATATAGTATAATCTTAAACAGTATAAGAAATATCTTAAACTTGTTGAATGAAAATTTTAATGTTAAAACTTATGAAGTTTTATTCAAATATTAAATTAAAATATTACTTAGTAGAATATTTTGCAACTTTCTATAAGTTGATGTCACCATCTGTGGAACTGTTTTGTCTAGAAATTAGGAATAAAATCAAATATAGGAAGTTCTCTAATGATTTTGTGATTTTCCTCATCAGATAAAATAATAAACAAATGACAATTTAATTAAAAATTATTATTATGTTTTATAGTCAATATCAAAATGATTATTTATTATTAAAAAAAGATATATATATATGTGTGTGTGTGTGTGTGTGTATATATATATATACAGTAGAACCTCGATTATCCGGACTAATTGGGGATGAAGGTAGTCTGGATAAGGAAAAATTCGGATAATCGAAACAAATACTTTGTCTTTTAATGATAATACACCACATTTTCTTTTTGATGACATATCGGTAATATTAAAAATAAATACTGCATTTAAATTGTGATCAGATTTTCAAGAAACAAACGTTCGTATTGAATTTGGACTACTACTGACCAGCGCTAACAGACTGCCTATTGTTTAAAAGGCCCTCTGGTGGCAGAAGAAGACGGATTTTATAAAATAAAAAGCAGTTGAAACTGCATTTTTATGAATAAAAATTTGATAAACTATTTGTCGTTTTATGACGACTAAAACTTTTTTGTCGCATTCGCGGCTTTTAAGTAATGCATAAACCTTCGAGGCGTGAGGCCCTTTGGACCGCGAGGCATAGGTGGTGGCCCACGTTGCCCATACGTCGCCCTTGGTCATAGAAATGATGTAATTTGAATATAAATTATTTATAAATACATATATCAAGTTATATTTTTTATTATGACGCAAAATATATTTAAGAGTTTACGACCACTATGCTGGGTGAGATGTTGTTGAAACAAAGTTATTCATTCTATCACATACATAAACAGTATCGTAATTCGCCAAGTGCAAATCAGCAAATTCGTAAAATTTTTGTTTATTTTGAACAATCCGGATAATCGAAAATCCGGATATAATAGAGGTCCGGATAATCGAGGTTCTACTGTGTGTATATATATATATTTACACAG